TTGTAATGTTGTATACACATGTTATGTACTCACACAATTATCACTTATGTAAAAAAATCATCACCACTCATTTTCATCCTTTTTCATTCCATTTTACTCCTCTAGGTTCTCCAGCCTTACGTATCCGTGTGAACAATTGATTTCAAAATGGTCACATCTACGTGCCTGCAGTTCTCGTCGCTCAAGTGTTTAGTCGGTATAAGCCTTTGCTTTACGCTTCATTCAGCTGTTAGCCACGTCAACGACCGTGGTCAAGTCGGCCCTGGACCCCAACGTCTCCCGACGCACAACACATCCGCACTTCTAAATGATTCTTTCCCGCTACATGATGCAGCGCAAAAGTCCGAGCTCGACATTGATGCCAGCGTTGAGGATGCTAGGGATTGTTTTCTGAAAGCATTGTCTCTAGTGCCCGCAACAGACTGGATACGTTTCTTGACACGTTTCGGCCCGAACAATCGGTTCTTAGAACACCGCTTCTTCCGAATGGTATTGAACACGGCCATTTCAACGTAGAACACGATGGGAATGCACTTAGAAGTGACCTTTCCAGTGGTGTCAAGGACGTTATTTTTGACGGAAGAAACGATGGCAAAGCATCGGCGGTCAGTGGAATTATTCTCTCGAAAAAAAAAGTTGTTGAGGAGGACAGAACTAAGGTGTCAAATCTTCTCAAACTCCCTTCGCGGAGTGAGCAACAAGACGATGAATTGCTTTCTCTTATTCAACTAGGTCAAAGGTCAGAGGATGAATCCCAAACGATCTTTTACGACTTCGCGTTGGTCCAGATGCTTAAACACAAGACTTCTGCTGAATTCGTACACGAGAAATGGGTCAAAGACAAATTGACTATTGATGATATCCAGAGCTTTTTACAGAAGTATGTATCAGATGAAATTTCGTTTTATAAGAGCGATAAGCAAGCCTTTGGCTATCACACGTCGGTTATCGTTGGAGCCATAGAATTAGTGGGTATACCGTTGAGAATCTGCTCGCAAATTTCGAACAGATAAAATTGATGGAAGACGATGTCGTTCGGATGGCTGTAGGCGCACGAGACTTCTTTGGCGGACAAGATGCTATTGATCGTATGCAGAAGTTCATGACAGACCATTTTGAATGGCAGCATCTGGCGTTTCTTATGGAAATGGATGGCATAGATGGTCTCAATCACTTTTACCAAACTATTGAAGGTGGGTTACTGCATAGTGGTTGGCTGAATTATGCCGCTTTCGCTCTAGATCGCAAATCCATTACGAAAACAGACGTGTCAGAATTCCTTCGTTTGAAACGTTCCTATGCAAAGAAAGATCAACTCAACTTATTTCACAGATTTTTAGTAAATAGAGATAGCAACGGAGTCAAACTGGAAGCACCATTGACGCCAAACGATCAAACGCAGGTGAGTTACATTGTTACAGGTTCTTTCGCGAGGTGGAACGTCTTTTTGCGTCTCATATACTATTGTTCTCATCGTAATTTGATGTCAGGAGGTGGCATCAAGCGAAGCCCGACCAGAAAATATTAGCTCAATACAGGTTTTTGATAGATACATTTTTGAACGATATGATGGAGTATGTTAGCAAGCTTGAGGATCCACTGTAGAAGCGTACTTAGATTCAATTATCGTCGTAAAACGCTTGCTATGCGAGACATATATCACGTTTGATGCCTTATTTTTGTGGTCTTGATTGTTTTGGGCAAGCGAAATATGTAATTGTTCACAGCAAGGAGCACGTGCTTATTCACTCCGCTTCTCCGGTCGATTTATTGACTTTTCCTGCTTGTCCCCACCGCTTGACGAATGGCGCTCAAGTAAGAGCATCCGTTTGCGGCATCTGCAACTTGAAGTTGTGGTTTAATGTTTGCAAAAGGAAAAGAATGTTTATGAATGCTTTTGCAAAGAAATACATAGAAGAGGATGCAAAGAAGAAAGCACCTACTAGATGTTCAGAGCCAACTTCAAAGGACTGATCACATGTGATCATTGATTTATGTGCAGAAACTTTATGATCTGCTTTACGTACCCGATAACAATTTCTTCACGATGATGCCAATGCAAGACAAGGTCATGCAGGTAGGCATGCAAGAGCTTATTGAACTCTTTTTGCTTCGACACGTCCGACGATACTCATGATAAACCTGCAAGTGATTGGAATAGACACGAACTGCATCTCAACATGATAAGAAGACTTTTTTATTTCGTGCTCCTGGTAGCCACACCTTTTTTTCGTTCTGACTCTCATTTGTGTTTTGGCTGCACTAACAGTGCAATCTTGTCGTTGTCAATGTAATTTAGCTTTATACAGTATGAAGACTTGGAAATAT